GAATGACAGTGTCCAGGAGTAGTAGCAGACACTGCTACATCGGCTTTCCACCAGATTCGTATGAAGCTCGAGTAGTAATAGACGCATTTTCCCTGCAGTCTCAGCTCTCTTCCAACCGGGAACATTTTAGACATGAATCGGCTGTAACTGCATTCCAGTGGTCCCGCAAGGTCACAGAATGATCGCAAGGTCATGCGTGATTTTGACCGTTCACATGTATCCAAAAGGTCTAGTTTATTTTCTGTTCTTTTCACCACTGCCATGGAGGTGTTACAGGTACTGGCATATTCTTTCCTTACTACTTAAGCAACAGGAAATACATCTTATTTTGAAAGTTGTCAGATACTCTACACTGCTCCAGTGTCGGATTTCCTGTCTGGCCCAAACTGAACTGTTGAGCTTGATGCATTTTGGAAGCACAGCGTGTAAAAAATTAGACTTGAAAGTGTAAACTTGTGGTGATGTGGCACACAGCTCCAAGCCCAGAGGAAACGCACCTACTGACCATGACAGCAACTAATTGCTGCGTATTGCGCTTTGCGGATTTTACACAAAATAAGAATCTTGTGAAAATCCATGGGTTAAAGGTAGATAAGGGTGGTGGAAAAACGACAATGGAAGACCCGAGTTTACCTTCTTTATCCAAATAATTTCAAACCTTTTATCAGTGTTTCCTACAACTGCACACAGTTTGTATGGTTTGGGTTGTTCTATGAGTTTGGAGGCTTCGAACAGCAACACAACAGATTCAGAGCACCACTGCCGCTTTATTCTGGTCTTTCTGATGTTTCTTAAAACTTTTTGAATTTAGGAGATGTGACCTGCAGAGTGGTGCCATGTTTACACTCGAGACCAGCTGCCTGGACTCTTCAGACCCATGATCCTGGGGGAAATAAATAAGAGACATTGTGGAGGCTGAGCTGGAGCGAAGGTTAGGCTGCGGAAGAGATTTAAAGCCTCATTTCAGACCATCCTCAAAGGAAATGTAAGGTCTCTGGTAAGTAAGATGGACAGTTCTGGACACAACTCAAGAGTTATGTGCTTCACTGAGACATGGCTGCATGCAGACATCCCAGGATCTCTTTAGGCATCAGGGAGGTCTGGGTGGATAATTCAGAGACTACCTGTTCTCAACATGACATACAAGAGCAGAAAATACGTCTTCACCTTCCTGTTGTTAAAAAGTCAAGCCTGAGTGTCCCTCGATCCATGTGGAGCTGACAGCCCCTCCGTGATTTGACCAGCCATCTTTATTGAAGCACGCAATTCTGTCTTTATTATTCAGAGTTAAAGTAAAACTAATTCAGAGAAGTTAAACACATCTACAACCATCCACCCACTCCTTCAACCATCATCCACTCATCCGTCCCTCCATCCATCCAACGACACCACTGGCTGTCAGTAGCTTGATGGAAACTTTTTTACTGGCAAAATAAATCACACAGTGAAATTACATCTCAGCATTTGACCCATCCCCACAGGGAGCGGGGAGCTGCAGCTGTGGCTGCGCTCGGGAACTATTTGGTGGTTTAACCCCCCAATCCAACCTTAATGCTAAGTGTCAAGAGGAGAGGCATTGGGTCCCATTTTTAACCAGGATTTGAACCGCAATCTCCCAGTCCCAGGGTGGACACTCTACCACTAGGCCACAGAGAACGTGTTGGAATGACTGGTATTGGAAAGTTACTGGAATGTTTACTTTGTGAAGTGCCTTGAGAAGACTGTTGTCATGATATCAGGCTATATAGATAAAGTGAATTGAATCCAGCCAGCCAGCCGTCCATCCAGTAGACTTTTAAAGATAAAATAAAATATCAAAACTATTTAACTGAGTTCTAAACATAAAAAACTTCACATTCAGTCTAAAGAATTCCCCTCTTCATTCCTTTGGATAATCCTCTGTGACAATAACTTGGGTGGTAATGCTAACTGCAATTAAGTATGTTTATCATGGTGACATTTTACTTAACGTTTCCTTAACATACTTTACTTTACTGCCTTAATAAATCTGTAAAGCAGGGCTCTTGTTCCTGGAGGCTCATTCATGCCACCTACTGGTTGATCCTCTTCTCTTCCATCCTGATGATGCCTTAGTTGGTTCTATCTTTGGTTTTATTAAATCTCCTTAAAGCAAGCTCTTTTTTTTCTTTACAATTTTCTATTTTAATAAAGAATACATTCTTTGTCAGAAAAATCCTCTCCAGATTTTGTTATGTCTGTATGTATGACCGACATTCAGTGTTTGAACATTGTTCAACCCTTTACACGGTTTTCCCTTGTGTCTGCTGTAACTGTGTCCTCGTGTCTCCATCACCTAACAGAGATTAGAGCGTTCAGACACAAAGGAGTGTTTTACCTTTCGTAACATAAAAATATGACATCGTTTTTAATGACCAGCGGTAGGATCATCAGTAGGAGCGTGAGGCATTGTAAAGTAATTACCATTAAAGCAGCAGCTAGATTTAGTCACATTTACTTCTCATATTAATGAATACAGTTGGAAGTTTTTAATGTAACGTCTCCACCTGATTTATTAAGCAACACTAATAATATGATAAAATGTTTGGATGTAAATCCAAATGAGGATATTTAAACTATTAGTTTACAGTGATTCTGGGTTCTTCCGTGATCCACGGTTAAACAGACTCACACAGTCGGACCATCATAGCAGCTCTGACACCTTAGATAGGGGATCTCATAATCATAATGATGCAAAATTTCAACATTTAAAAATTATTTCATATTTAGGTTTAATTGCAATCATTTTATTTTATTATTGTTTGAACTCAAATGTGGTGAAATGTAATTGTTAACGACTGAATGTACAATCAGCACCCCCTACAGGTGACTGTGTACAAGAACCTAAGGTGTTCCAAGTGGTTCCATTCCCATTGTCCAACTCGTGTAGATGAACATTTTTGCTTCAGTTTATTAACGTGACGGGAATTTAATTGCATTAAAAGAAGAAGCAGATCAGTGTGTTGAAACAAATAAAAAACCTACAATAAAACAATCAGATCAAAGCTAATCAATTAAAATAATACGGTAACTATTATTATCTGTTGTATCAATAATTTAGTTTCTCAGAATATGAATAGAAAAAGTTCCACCTAATAATGAACTAATAATTAAGCTTCAGGATTTTTGACCTTGTGGTTCTGGGTGATGTGTGTTGATGGGCTCTTGATGGAACCAGACCTTCAAGAACTAAAATAAGATCTGATAATCAGTCCCGTATTAAACAGCAAGTCAGAGAAGCTCTATAGGTTTGTAGTTTCCTGTTTGCTGGTTCTTGTTAGGAGACAAGATACATTATTTGGTTCCTCGTGTAGATGATGGAGGGAGGACTGATGGAGTGTATGCTGAGATTAAAGCATGAGGAACATCTTCAAAGTCTTTGGAGAAGAAGTTAGACTTCATCTTCATTCATAAACGTAAAAGAAGAAGTTTGTTTGGAGTGAGCTGATCAAATTTAAAGGGTTAGGGTAAAATAACTCTCAGGTCTCTAACAGAAGACAGATTAACCCTTCCACTGACCTAATGGGTGTGACCCCACGAGGAAAGTTGACCATTGAGCAGGGTTGATGGTTTACCCCTTGGGTCCATGTGGCAGGGGTGAGGAGTGAGCAAAGAAGTAATAGCAAAGTAGTAGTAGTCGTGGTAGTGGCAGTGGCAGTAGTAGTAGAAGTAGTGGTAGTAGTAGTAGTAGTAGTAGTAGTAGTAGTAGTAGTAGTAGTAGTAGTAGTAGTAGTGGTTGTAGTAGTGATAGTGGTAGTAGTAATAATAGTAGTAGTAGTAGTAGTAGTAGTAGTAGTAGTAGTGGTGGTTGTAGTAGTGGTAGTGGTAGTAGTAATAATAGTAGTAGTAGTAGTAGTAGTAGTAGTAGTAGTGGTTGTAGTAGTGGTAGTGGTAGTAGTAATAATAGTAGTAGTAGTAGTAGTAGTAGTAGTAATAATAGTAGTAGTAGTAGTAGTAGTAGTAGTAGTAGTAGTAGTGGTTGTAGTAGTGGTAGTGGTAGTAGTAATAATAGTAGTAGTAGTAGTAGTAGTAGTAGTAGTAGTAGTAGTAGTGGTTGTAGTAGTGGTAGTGGTAGTAGTAATAATAGTAGTAGTAGTAGTAGTAATAATAGTAGTAGTAGTAGTAGTAGTAGTAGTAGTGGTTGTAGTAGTGGTAGTGGTAGTAGTAATAATAGTAGTAGTAGTAGTAGTAGTAGTAGTAGTAGTAGTAGTGGTTTTAGTAGTGGTAGTGGTAGTAATAATAATAGTAGTAGTAGTAGTAGTAGTAGTAGTAGTGGTTGTAGTAGTGGTAGTGGTAGTAGTAATAATAGTAGTAGTAGTAGTAGTAGTAGTAGTAGTGGTTGTAGTAGTGGTAGTGGTAGTAGTAATAGTAGTAGTAGTAGTAGTAGTAATAATAGTAGTAGTAGTAGTAGTAGTGGTTGTAGTAGTGGTAGTGGTAGTAGTAATAATAGTAGTAGTAGTAGTAGTAATAATAGTAGTAGTAGTAGTAGTAGTAGTAATAATAATAGTAGTAGTAGTAGTAGTAGTAGTAGTAGTAGTGGTTGTAGTAGTGGTAGTGGTAGTAGTAATAATAGTAGTAGTAGTAGTAGTAGTAGTAGTAGTAGTGGTTGTAGTAGTGGTAGTGGTAGTAGTAATAATAGTAGTAGTAGTAGTAGTAGTAGTAGTAGTGGTTGTAGTAGTGGTAGTGGTAGTAGTAATAATAGTAGTAGTAGTAGTAGTAATAATAGTAGTAGTAGTAGTAATAATAATAATAGTAGTAGTAGTAGTAGTAGTAGTACTGGTAAACCTGACCTATATAAAGACTAACGGCACCACCTAATGGGCACGCTGACTCCTTACACCTGCTCTTGTGTTCTGCTGATGTTACTGAGATTTAAAAGCTCTGTCTAAATATGTTAAACTATATAAGTACATAAAACTATATTATGACACAATGAGACAGACAGAAGTACCTATACAGCAGTACAAGTAGAAGTACTTTACCTCTGTACATATCCACCAGAGAGTCCCTGAGTTCCTTGCTGGGGATCCATGTGAATAAATCAGTTACTTCTGGGCTCTCAGAACTTCTTTCTCTGGAAACATGAAGCATATTCACATCACAATCACCACCAACCACACGGATCAACCAGTAAACCCATCAACTAGGGATGACCTGATACCAGCACTGGGTATGGGTCCTATACTATGGTCGTACTTGTAAAAGGGTTTCTGATATTATAAAAGTGGAGCCTCTTTACGTAGCTTACTGCTCAGCTCTTAGTTGAGTTGCAGTAGGAATCAATAGCAGCTGACTCTGGAGAAGATGAAGTAAGTCTAAGTGGAAGAACCTCTCAGCCCTCTGGTGCTTGGTGTTTACAGCATGAACCAAACACAAACTACACATTCAAACGAACATACAGATCCTTTCAATGTAAGAAAGCATCTAAAAAATAGAAAAATAACCTGCATTTTTCCATGTAGTTTTTTATAACAACACCACACACACATGCAGATGCATTCAACAGCTGCTCTCCATTCAGATTTTAGTACAACATCTCTATTAGAGTTAAAACCCTATAAAGACTCCATGTTTTTTCGTGTCACTTCCTCCAGTTACATACACACACACGTTTCTAAAGACGGATTTAAAACCAACAAACCTTTATAATCCATGCGGTGCACCAACGATACAAAAACACTCCAGGGAGGGAAGCACTAGTCTACTATAAACAAGTACAGGTCAAACCAGTTTCACTCCCTGTCAGACTAGTCATACAAACAAGTCACCTGATTCTAGAAAAATCTAATCTTAAAGAGCAAGTCACCCCCTACCAGAGTCTAACTCCACTCCCACTTCATGTTTAAAAAATGCAACAAATGCTGTTGCCTGGCAGACCGAGAGGGCGGAGCTGCTAACAAATACACACACACAGGCTCACCACAGCATTGTGACATCATAATGTACCAGTTTACATCATAGCATACCTCTTAGCCAATAGCGGTGGCAGACTTAAATTCAAATACAGTGCAGAGTTTTTACCTGACAACGGCACAACACTGACAGTTTTAGGCAGAAAATTAAAATTTTAACTAAACTGCACTAAAGTGCTAAACTATTGACTACACGTGTCTGCAGCACGATTAGACACTCGTTTATTTAGTTTATCAGGGGAAAATCGTTGATTTGGGGGTGACTTGCTCTTTAATCTAAGGTGGTCTTCAGTTATTCCTGCTGGTGGTTTTCCCTCCACCACTTATCTCATCTGAATGATCTGTCTCCATGTCAGACAACAGCAAAAGTCTCCAACTCAGTAAACCTAATGATTGTTGGATCCATGGTGTGGAAGGAACTACATCCCACCAAACAGCTATTAAGCCAAAAGAAGTGAACAGATACAGAAAAACAACAAATGCTAAATGCCACCCTACTGCAACAAAATCACTCAACAAACGCTTAGTTGGCTGACAGAAGTTCAGCGTTCACATCAGCGACTGTTAAGCCTGGTTTATGCTTCTCCGTCAGCTCCGCAAGGGACAGGCACGCACGGATTGACGGAAGCATTTTGCTCTCATACTTCTCCGTCTCCTGGAGAGTGTTGCAAAGCAATTGCCCGGCAGGACAACAGAGGGCGTAGCACTGTTCTGTGGTATCCTGTCATGTATCGGTCCAAGATCGTGTGTTTATATTGTGTTTTTTGTGTATATAAGAGACTTTTAACACGGACATATTTGTCTCTCATTCTCCCACCGCTTCATGCGCTCCCCACCTCTAAACCCACGTTTCCTGTCATTTCCGTCCACAAATAAAACGCTTGCTGTGCATCTTTTCACTCCTCCAGTCACGGGAGGATGAAACATTCATATTTTTAGAGTTTTTTCACGAGGTATTCTTCAAGCTTCTCCGTGTCTGCCGCTAGTTAAACTCGGCCCTCTTTGCAATGGCGGCGCTGTAAACAACAGCGGCGTCCTGACCAATCACAAGCTTGCGTAATCCGTCTCGTTCGACGGATGTTTAAAAAAGTGGGCTCGACTCCGTACGTACTTGCGTGCCTGCCGGAGCCCTACGCAAGGACGGATAATGGCGTTGCATGTCTCTGCACTGACGCAGACGGAGAAGCATAAATCAGGCTTTACTCTTCCTCTGTGCCACTCCCATGGGGAATGCCTCAGGGCTTGTATTGGGTCCTCTACTCTTCTCCATCTATATTCTCCTCCCTGGGCACAATCTTGGCTAGGCATGGCATAAATTACTACCTGTACGCTGACGACTGTCAAATTTATCTGGCTTTAGACCAATCTAGAGCCACTCATCTGCTCAGGGACTGTCTTCTGCAGCTGAATGAGGGCAAGACTAACGCAGTTATTTTCAAATTCAAATGGCTAACACTAGCATACAAAGTCCGAGATGGAATGGCTCCCATCTAATCTGCTTGCAAAGGCTTACGTCTCGGCCCGGCCGCACCGGTCATCACAGGATCGTCGGCTAGCAGTGCCTACACCACGCTCAGGACAATCCACTCTTCTCATGCATCGTAAACTAGCACTCTCCCTGCACCCGTCCCCCTCTCTACTGTCCACTCCTTGTTCCCTCCTCTCCATGATTCATCATGCTGCCTCTTTGCCACCTACAACTGACTGGAAATCGTTTGTTGTTGTTGTTATTGTTGTTGTTAGCCTCAAGGGCCACATGCCGATTATCACTTGTAAGTCGCTTTGGACAAAAGCGTCTGTTAAATACATAAACATAATTCTCACTTATCTGCTATTCCATTTTCTCCTCCTTACCTCTTAAACCCTGTATAACCAGTCTGGGGGTCAAACTCGACTCAGACCCATCAATGGCCCCTCAGATCAATGCCACAGTTAAATCATGTTTCTTACACCTGCGTTGCTTGCCTAAGGGACCACACTTGGAGTCTGTTGTACATGCTTTTGTCACCTCAACCTCAGGACTATGGAAATTCGTTCCTCATTCATGTCAATGCTTTAATGCAGAAAGTGCAAAATGCTGCAGCCTGGTTTCTGACTAACACAGACAGATGTTACACCCATCCTGGCAGACCTTCTCTGGCTCCCTGTCCACAAAGCTCTGAAGGATGAAGCTCCTCTGACTTGATCACCCCCTATGTGCCCTCGCGCTCATTAAGGTCAGCCGATCACCTGCTAATGTCCACTCCCAGAATGCATTACAAATCACGTGAGGAGAGGGCTGTCTTGTTTTCCATCCCCAAACTCTGGAACACTATTCCTCTCTCTGTGAGGCAGGCGCCATCCCTGTCTTGATTTGAGTCGGCACTGAAGGCATACTTTTAAAACTTGGGATTGGGTCGGTGATCACTTCTTCCTTTGTTTCTTTACACCCTCCTTTTGTAGCCTTCTTGTTTTATATATGAGTATTATTCCTATGTCTTGCCTCTAGTTTTAGGCATTTTTATCTTGTGTCTTACGGTCTGCTTTTATATGCTGCTTATGCAGAGTCTAGTTTGACTGAGTTTTTAGTTTGTTGATCCTACGCTTCTGTCTCTGGAGCATTGTCTATTCGTGCCTAGCATTTTTTATGTGTTGCTTAGCTTTGTTCTTGTACAGCACTTTGGTCCGCTGCCATGTTGTTTTTAAATGTGTTTTATAAAGAAAGTTGGTATGGTATGGTGAGCTCATAAGAAACAGAGAAGACTAAATAACGACAAAATACTTTAAAATAAACCTGTTCTCCTCCACAGCCAACATATCTCAGAAGTGGAACCTACCTGAAGAGTTCAGAACATGAGATGTTCAGAGCTCAGGAATATGAAACCCAACAAAAAATCAAAAAGCACAGAACTGAAAAGAGATTCTTCAGAGGTTTAATGGACAGATGAAGTCTTGTTAACCTAAACAGACCAATACCTGGCTACATCATAAATGGACAAAGAAGACCACTTAAACCAGAACAGTGGAGGAGATGCCAGCAATGGCATCTGATGAGGGGTGTTACTATGGGTATGTGTGTTACATCATGGTATGTAATTGGGCACACTGGCTTTTTGGTGAGCTGGGGGATGTCATGTTTTCTATTGACCGTGTTAAATTACCAAGATTAACCTCCCATTAATTGTACCTGGTCAGTCCGTGTCTCATGAATATATCGGGAGAATGGATTAAATTAATCATGTTGGAAAGAAGAAGCTCGTATTACTGACAAGACAAGTGTCAGATAAATATTTCCTCCAAATGCAGCCAATAGTGGCCCTCAAACACAACCACAGTAGCTGCAACAGGAAAGATACCAGTGAGGGATGCTGCTGGACCATTTTGGGTTGACGAATGACTTAACATGTCAAACTGCAGCCAAACACAAAAGAGTCTGCATGTTTTATTTTATGAGGAACTTAACACCAGCACATGAATAAAATGGTTTCTCCCACTGACGACAACATCAAAAGTAAAAAGAAAGATGCTAAGGAGATCATTTCACAAAGCAAGCCAGACATCGCTCACCCCCCTCTATTATTTAGAGCTCAAACAGAGTTTAAAGTCTACAGAAACAAAAATATTACCTACACACATTGTTCTGGTTATTTTTCTTACTGTAATTGCTGCTCCAGGTTAAAGATCTTTCTCTTGACTCTCTGTAAAGCAAACTGAACATCCATAGGTCTGCAGCTGACACAGCTGAACACCAGCAGATAAAACTTCCAACTCCAACACACGTCTGACTTTCTCATGACGACCAGCACACGTTACATAGCACCACTTCCAGGTCACAGGAGAAACCAGTCAGTGATTGGTCGAGGCTCTGCATCAAATATGTAGGAGCTCACAGAATCAAGTGTCATGTGACTCCGAGTTGTTCTCAGGTGATCAAATACACAAGTACACGAGTGAAGCAGAGACAAGTAGATGTTCGGTCAACGCTTTTGTTAAATCGGGGAAGGAGCTGAGTCTTAAAGCAACCACCAATCTTTACTGTGTTGTGTTGAGATTCTTTGCAGTGCTGATCAAAACTAGCCTGAAAAGCCATCTTATATATGTGAATATATATGCAAAGCAAAATTATTTTGCTTCAGCAAATAACGATTTAGATTCTAGGCTGGATCAAAACCAATTCACTGTAGAAGGCAGTAGGAGAAACTGCTCACTTCTTCCACAAATGTTTCTGAAGATGCTGAATTTATCCATCCATTTTCTTCCACTTAGCCGGAGTCGGGTCGCGGGGGCAGCAGCCTAAGTCGAGAGGTCCGGACTTCCCTCTACCCAGCCACTTGGGCCCGCTCTTCCGGGGGAATCCCAAGGCGTTCCCTTGCCAGGTGAGAGACATAGTCCCTCCAACGTGTCCTGGGCTGAATTTAATTTGTATTATTGTCATTTTATTTACATATATTCAGGCTAAATATGCTACTTTGTGCCAGAGTCATTGTTTTTATTATAATCAGAGATAAAAGAGAAAAAACTGGATGAGAAGGGTAGGGGCCCTGACAAGAACTTTCCCCCTACAACAAGTAACAGACAAGACTGTTTATCACCTCCATACGAAGGTGCATTCACTAATGGTGTGCTTTAACTATTAGTGTTTGCACCAAGTTATTGATATTTCATTCTCATATGAAACTAAAGTGTGTATTAATATTCTTTTTGGTCAGTTACTCTGTCCCAGAGGTGTGTGCCTCATTGCCACCAGGTGTATGGTATTTTATGGTCAAAGAGCCAGTGGGACTCTCACTGGACAGGTGGTATTAAACCCAAAAGTGTACTCTGGTGCCATACTAGTGCGACAAACACGATGCAATAAACCAAAACTACAATGGAGTCCAGACAGCAGCTTGTGCTAGCCATGCTTGGGTTTTGCTAGCTCCCCAGCATCTTCTTTCAGGTCTTTCACACATTCGTGCACAATCAGATGAAGTGAAACAACGGCTCTCTGGTTTTTGTCTTGTTCTTTTAGCAAGCAGTGATGTTTTTCTGTTCTCCAATCCATGAATTGTGTTGTGTGACCAGTTGCTCCACCCGAACCATTGTCCAATGGACCTGCAGCTGAAGGGAGCCCAGCAATTGCGCCGTACAGGTTGGTCGTTTGGGCCACTACAATGGAAATAGACAAAATAGCGTACCAACCTGCTCAATGTAAATAGGTTATAAGAACCTGCTGTTTCTGATGTTGACAATTAAGCAGCATTCATCTGTTCTGTGTGTCAGCTAAAGCCCCTGGATTGATTTGGTTTAGAACCAGCTCTTATTTCACCCAGAACCTCAAAAAACACAAAGTATTAACAGATTTTTCATTAGTTATGTTTATTGTTAATTGATAATAATGTCATAACATCTGCTGTTTCTCAAAGTCACGAAGCACTCTGTTCAAGAGGGTGATGTCCACTTTGTGTTTCATCACAAACTGCCCATTCAAGTGGAAGACAGGAATGTCCCATTTGTACCTGTCGAACCACAGCCTGTTCTCTGGGAGACTAATGTCCACGAGCTGCAGGACAAACTGGAGGACACACAAAGACACAAGCCATGACAGCAGTCACACTAAAGGTGTTTAGATGTCTATAAAGCAAATCATGAATCCAAGTCAAAATACAAGAAATGTGTGGTACTGCTGACACTGTTGCTGTTGTAAGGCTGATGCACAAAGCTATTATTTACATTTCAGCTCAGGTTCTCGTTTAATCGGATTCCTCTCTGACTACTGCAGTAAACTCAGTGACACAGAGCATGTCTGTTTCTCTCACCCGGTGTTTGAATGGCTGCAGTAGCTCTTTAGCTTCATCACACAGCGGGCATGGATCCTACGGAGACAAGGGAGACTCAGAAATTGTCTTTACCAGCATCAGTGATGTGAATTAATCCAGGCAGGAGAAAAAAGTCTGCAGAATACAGCAACTAACACCATTTGTATGGACAACATATAAACAAAAAGCATCAATCACTGTCAACTAATATAGATAAATAACCGGTCAGACTTCCATCAATTATCCCAATGGGTTAGTGGAGTCGTAGGAACTGACATGTGTTAGTAACGATTCTGGAGAGCGGGAAAGCGTGCAGGGTTTAGTGTCAGGTTACCTTAGTGAACAGAGTGAGAGTGGGTAACATTTTGGATGAAAACCATCTGAGAAGCTGTAGAGGTGGATGTCGACAGGAAGACCTGAGCACCAACATTTTGCCTGAGAACACCAACACAGAAACCAGTTAGTGATGTCTGAGACATCAGAGAGCTGAGGAGAACGTCTCGTCATAAAATACCTGCAGACTGGGAAGGTGTGGAAAGGGTGACAACTAAAACCAACAGCACCCCCGAACAAGGCCCTCTCATGCTCCTCAGTGGGTTTTGCAGGAACCTCTGACATTTACATACTTTTTATTGCTCCATTAATCTGTTGGATTAATTATTTTAAATCATCTATGTTATATTTTTTTTCTAACCATTTTCTACCATGAGGTTTTTTAGACAGGCCCTGCTCATACAAACAAAAAATATGCCTGACAAAAATTATCAGAAAATTATTAAGGACAATCATATAATTAATAATTATTATGAGACTAATTCACATCAACAACATCAAATGTGAAAACATCTGAAAAGATTCCTATGGTCTCATGAGTGCTGCTGCTCTAATGAGATGGTTGTGATTAAATGTTTAGAAAGAGCTGGAGCTGCAAGGAAATGCAGCTTTATCCCAGCTGTTTGATTCAGTTCATTATTAAACCACTACAAAGTGCAACATGTTGTTCTGACTCTGCTTTAGTGCTGCAGAAATGTTACAATATTAAGAAATTAACTCATCTCATGTTTGTACTCAGTGTCCTTAAATCTTCCGGTGCGAAGATGGGATGTCTTAGACGAGGAAGGCTGTAGCAAGCTGACGGCCATTTCCTACCAGAAAATAACTGTCCTCAGGTTTATTAGGGTTAAATACTGTCTGTATTTATGTTTACCTTCAAACTCAACTCCATCAAAAAAAAAATGTTTTAAAGAAAGATACGACCAGCCTTGGGAAACATATACACTCACCTAAAGGATTATTAGGAACACCTGTTCAACTTCTCCGTAATGCAATTATCTAATCAACCAATCACATGGCAGTTGCTTCAATGCATTTAGGGGTGTGGTCCTGGTCAAGACAATGACCCAATCTCAATACTCGCACTTGCACCCTTCAATTGCGCGTTCCCGGCCAGGGGTGCGAGTGCATAGGGTGTCCCGATTCTCAAGTGCGGAAGTTGACCACGCCCCCATTGCACCCTTAATCTGCACTTCACCCAAGTCCACAGCGATTTGGACCTCGGGCAAGGGTATTACCCACAAGTCATTGCTGTGGGAGAAAAGGCTCAAGTTCCTTTTCTGAAAATATGTATTTTCTAATGAAATTAGTTCATTTTAGAATG